AAACTGTTTAGCATTTACATACGCACAGACCTTCATAGGACGGGCCAGAGATCTAGATTAGGTTTAGTCCAGATATTAGGTGATGTTATAAAAGTATAAAGTAAAAAGGCATCATGGGAATTAATTATGTTGATATTTCCAGAAGCTGCAGAAGCATCAAAGTTAGAGAAAATATATTTGTTGTTTTCTTATTTGATCAAATACGAGGATGATCACAGTAGTTCTTGCTACAGGAATATTACTAGCAATGCATAATGAAAATGTATCAAAGAACAGAATCTATAAAGTGGTCAGTTTATCTAATAGCATTTGGATTCATTTTATTTCCACAGTTGAGAAAAGATTGTTGTGGGATTTTTTTGTTTTTAAAGGTAAAAGAACACTGTCTTTATGGCAGAAGTATTGAATTTCCTATGACTGAGTCTTTGAATCTACATAGATCTAGAGCAATAGTCAAATTTGTTAGATCCATGGATACATACTCTACATTATTTAGTTATACTGATTAGTCATCATATTAAAAGTAGTGACCTCCACAGTGACTAAGGGAAGGGGATTGAAGGTAGAGGTTAAGCAGTTTCAACTGTCCAGAGCAGGTAACAATAATACCTTGTTGACTATAGGTACCATGATAAAAAATGACAATTTGAATATATTACAACACATTTCATTAGGCTTATAACTTCAGTATGGTAAAATATTACTTGATATAATAGATAGCTGAGCTATTTTATGCAGCTGGCAGAATGAGTGTTATTTTCTTTCTTAGTGCATTTTAAATAGTGCAGGTTTTGAAAAGTGCAGTTTAATTAGAAAACAACTACATTTGAAATATTTTATTTTTAAAAACAAAAAAGTTCATGTTTCTGGCTGGAAAATTTGTAGTTACTTTTACCATGGGAGTTATAAAGCAAAAAAGAAAGTAGGAGGAAGTCAGATTTTCTCTACTTTGAGTGTCCATTTTATCAGGTCACTTTTGTTTTATTTATGTGTTTAGCAGCAGAACTTAGGGGCCTAAGCAGAGATCAATACACCACTGCATTATGCTATTGCATTATGTTTTGGTCAATTCTTTCATCAGATTACTGTACATGCAAACACAATGCAGCAGAGGAGTGCAACAATCAGAATGGCACAGGATTAGCTAGACTTCATGAACCGAGACTTTATTTTACTTCTGTCAGGTATAGGACACCACTTTTGGGGAACATCTACATGAGATGTTTACTGTAGAATTATCTAATTGATTTTGCAGTAAACGTTTTGGCATCAACACATGCAGCCCTATTCAGCTGCAGGAAACTACAAAACTCTGGCGCAGGTTAGTACTTGTAAATATGGAGTGTTTTACATGCACCAATGCACGTGTAGATGCTCAGCAGGGCAAATCTTTCAGGCAGGGACCACTTTTCCATCCGTCTCCATACAATGGCTAGCACAATAAGATCCAGGTCCATGACTACACTTTGAGATGCAACCATATATGGATAACTAGAAATATGATACTTTTTAGGTCCCAGGCAAAAAACAGTGCAGCTTGAAAAGAACAGAAGGCCAACTGGGAAAGCTGAAGAAAACAGGTGTGTTTTTCTAGAAGAAAGCTTCAGTGAGATTAGAGGTAGAAAGAACGTTTTACTAAATTGCTAAATCTGAAGGGAGTGTTTCTATTGATTAGAAATTAACGTTAATTAATCAGACTCCCAAAAGGGAATATCTAGTGAGGGGAAAAATAAAAACAAAATGAAAAACAAATCCACAATGTGAAGCGTGTGTGTGGAAAAGAAACATTTTCTTTTTCAATTAAAAAGTTAAGTAATGGCAGAAGCCATTATCATGAGTATGTTAAGCAGTAGTTATGTAAAAGAAATATTTGTATAGAGTTAAATTTTACTACTACTTGATCGGGTTTTCCCTATTTTTAAGAAGGACCCCTCAAAAAAATGTCCAGGGGTACTGTGTAAAGAAAAACAAATGAAAAATGTAATCAGTTTACCCAAAAAGGCTATCAAAGTAATACAAAATGAAAATCAATGCCCTTTAATTCTATGAGCATAAGGGCCCAGCTATATATTCAAATTAAAACTGGACAGAAACTAGCTGTACAGTTGTTACACACTGGGCACATCTACATGAGATTCTTACAGAGCAGTAGGCTAATAACACTGCACATTAGTGTGCTGGTCAAAAACTGTGTTGATACGCTACTGCGCAGTGTTATTAGGCAACTGTGCAGTAGGCATAACCCAACCCCCACCCCCCCCATGCAATGGCACTACTGAGTAGTAGCATGATTTACTTGGTTAACCAAGTACTAAACTTAATGCACAGTAACTAGGGCGCATTAATGAACGTAAAGACATGCCCACCATCAAGCAGTAACTTTATAGCTGGTAGGATCCTTTTATAGCTAGATAGTCATTTTTATCACATGATACTTACTTTTCACATGTGACTGGTTTAAATATATTGTACAATTTATCAGTTAATTGCATAATATATGTAACATATACAGAAACTAATATGTAAAAGTAGGAAAATGTTTAACATTCTTAAACAGGGTATATGATAACAATTTCTTATTTTGTTAGCAGCTCGTAGAAAACATTTATACTATCCTCTTTCAGAGAGTTTAATATAAATTGCCTGAGGTTATTTTCAAGGATGCCTCCAGGGCAGGGTAGACATGTTATATTACAACCTTTGAAAGACATGAGACCTTTCCACACTAAAGTCATAAAAGGCAAACAGAAAAAAAAGATTAAACAGACCTGGGTATGGTTAAAAGCAATGGTACTAGGGTATAGATTTATTTTTAGTGCATGATAAGAATTTTAAAATGCAAGTAGACTTTACAAAAAGTAGCTATGTGGATCCATCTATTAGAAACAATGTGGAATTGCCTAACCACAATTTTGCTGGGAGAAAATGGACCAGACTCTGCTTTCAGCTACAGTAATATAGATTCGACCTTATGATATGGCACATAGGGCTGGATGGTGTTCCCTCTAGCAGCAACAGTAAAACTTTGATTAATTTCATATGGCATAGGATCCAGCACATGATCTTTCTTGCAAGATCCCATGTCACAAGGGAAAAAATACACTCATGCATCTCCCCAGTATTCCTCCAATATGATATCATTTAGTACCCAGGATACAGTGTGACCAGAATACAGCATACCTTTGTATAATGTTTATTACTGCAGATACCATGACAGGGCTAGTCAATCAAGGATCTTTAACTAGAACTCTGATCTACCCACCTTCTCCATACTCTTTGGCTGAACAGCTACTGGGGGGGGTATCCTATACCTTAATAGTTTAGTATATAAAAATGGAAAATTAATAAAGTAAAATGAAAACATGAATGTACCAAATCATACATTTCTAAAAAGTATAAGTTTATAGGATCAAACAGATAAAAATAAATGAAGGGATGCAATTAAGGAAAGTACCAGACCCTATAAGTCATATTCCTATTGAATATTTCTGAGTCACGTGAATTATCCCAGTATTTCCTCTACCAGGGGTTTTCAACCTTTTTTGGATCAGGGTACCCCCGGTGGCTGGACGTGGGGTGGTGGGAGGGGTAGTGTGCGGCCACATGCAGCGCATACCCCCAGGGCGTTCTCACGTACCCCCTGTTGACAACCCCTGTCCTATACTATATGATGTGCATGTACAAAGAAAGGAAGGTGAAAAGGGAAGACTAAACAATAAAAGGTTCAAATTTGTTATGCCACAATACCTATGATATTAACAAACAAGAAATTGCCATGTATAACCATTTTGCATGAGTGAACTAAAAAAGTTGAAAAGCATAGTTTCATAAAACAAATAGGCATGTGTGTGAGTTAGAATGCATGTGAGTGAGAATTTAAAACAAAACCATTACTTTCATTTTCAATTTTAAAGATCAAATAAACAGTTTTGATATTAGTCCAGTAAATTAAGGAGAAAAGAACAAATAATATTTAAGATTTCAAGGGAATGATGCCAAAGATAAGGTCAAATCAAATGTAGAAAGGTACTAACTTTGACAGGTCATTATAAATCAAGCCTGACAATTTCATAAAATATAATCAATAAAAAGTATGAAAGCCAGGCAACAGACAAATTTGAGTGTTTCATAAAAATAATTCATAAGGAAAAGTGACATCTAGTTTATTAAAGTGAACTTTATACACCCTGTCAAAAACTCATATTGAAGATTGTTGTGCTAAGTGGAATGTTGTGGCATTTAATTTCATTGCTTATTATTTACTGCTGAGAAAGTATGCATTTGTGTATTTTTAAAACAAGCTATTCAGAAACAAGATACATATATAAGATCACTATATTTTGACTGAAACTGAAATTTGAATACATGCATAGTAGACAGTCTGCTAAAGAAAAAGGAGGATAACCATATCCAAAAACCTTTGTTGTTTGCCATATCCTCTAGAGAAACTTTTGGGATCCTCTCATACCCTAATATTGTTCCCTGATTATACATATAATATGAAAATCAGGGGTCCAATCATCTCATTCTGAAATGAATACTCCATGATGTTTTAAGGCTTCTGACTCATTACATTTAGGACGTAATTAATAAGTTCATCACTCCTTAAACAGTAACCTGAGAAAGTCAATGTAAGGCATGATAGTACAGTAAACAAGCCACAAGTTATTCCATATATAACATTTAAAAAGTTTGTGTCTTGTTTGTATCACACCTTAAACTGAATGTGCATCTAGTTAAGGCTGGCCCATGACAGACCCTGGCATTCAGCTGAGTGTCAGGATCCAGTATGGGGCACCTCCAGGGTCTGAGACAGAGTTGTTCCTTACCCAATCAGGCTGGGGGTAGAACAATGGTAGGCAATGGTGGGCAGTAAGCCCACCATTGGAAAACAAATACCTGACTGCATGCTCACTGCATCCAAGACCTTTAAAAACTACATGTCCACCTGAACAGCACACTTGATTTTTTGACATGGCCCCTAGGACCAAGGAACCTCTCCCCAGTCCTGAGGTCCCTGTGTAGCAGGGATGTCAGAAAACCCATGTGTGCAGCTTAGATGCACACATAGTTTTTAAAAGTCCTAGTATGATGGCACTTCAGGACTGGGGAGAAGACTCCCAGATCAAGGACTCCTTGTGCTCCAGGACATGTAAAAATGATATGTGCTGCCCAGCTAAGGGCACACATGGCTTTTGCTCACCTGTGGGTGCCAGGACCCCAGGATCAAGCTGCAGAAGCCTAAGGTTTTCATGAATCCTTTTATTGCCTTTGGGAAAATACAAATGAGGAGAGAGGGAGAAAGAATAGACCACTGCTGTGTCAAATAGGATGAATATACCATGGAGGTCACTGGTAGCTCCTTGTGTAAGAAAATGAAAGAATCCATGTATAGATGGTCCTTTCAAAGTACAAATCATAGGCCCCATATTTAGATATGATGCTGTACTCCTTTTGAATGAAAACAAAACCTCAGACTATCTTCAACTGAGCACAAAAGGTGAAGAAAGAATAAAAAGAGTGGAAAATCAGATCCAAAATAAAAAAAAGAGCTAGATTAAATGAAGTGCTATATATGAAATTAAGGATAAATCATGCCACTTTATTTATTGTTAACTTTGATTCAATCTATTTTTGATAGTGCAATGATAGGTAGTAGGATCAACAAAATTTAAAAGAATGCACTTCAGCCACAAGATGTAGGATATTTGCATTAAAAAACTTGAAAATGTATATTAAAAGTACTACTGAAATGCCATGTCATATCAATTCAGTGATGGGTCAAGGCATAAATGTATTACAGTATGAGTCATACCAAATCTATAAAGACACAATTAATTTTTCAAGGCATCATTCTGACAGGTGCTGGTTATCCACCACTCCCAACATCAGGAAAAAAAAGGAATCACACAGACAGCAATCATATGAATTGAAAGAAGGACTAAGGGCAAGTAGACATGTCTAGAATGCTAGTTTGGTGATACCAAACAAACTACTTGGTTATTCAGTATATTGTTGCACCTATGGTACTGTGTAGGCATACTATGAATACATTTTAAAATGTATTGCTTAATACAATAAAGTAGTTGGTAAAGAAATTTTAAATGATATTAAATGAATCACTTGATAGACACACCATTTTTTCTCTCTAAATATCAGGTCTTCTAAGTGTAAACAAAAATGGTATTGTCACTACATGACACCTTGCATCCTTTTTAACACTGCTGCTTCAGCTTTAAGATTAGATGCAAAGATTATCTGGCTTCATTCTGACCCCACTTGTCTGCTTATATTCTATGTTTAAAAAAATCAGGGCTTATAATAGCTGATATAAATATAAAAAGTAAAATCCTGACTCCTTTGAGTTGTCCTGTCATTTCAGGAAGCATACCACTAATGATGGTGGCCCTAAATATTAGGGCTGTGCAAAGCTTTGGCTGCTGATTTAATTTGGCAGAGATTCGGTCCAATTCGGTGGCTGAATCTCTGAATCTGAATCGAATCAGAAGACCCTTTAATCTCTCTGAATTGAAGCGGAACCCTCTGAATTGATTCACAGAGATTCGGAAAGATTCGACGATTTGGACATAGACACAGCTTTAAATGTTTTTTCTACATACCTCAAGGTACCAGGCAGCTCGTGAATGCTGAGATGGTGGGGCAGATGGAACGTTCCACAGGAGCTTGTGGGGGGGCATCCCCAGCAGACCCAGAAGTGGACCAGAAGCACTTCCGGTCCACTTCCGTGGCTGCTGGGAAGTGCGTGGGCCCCCCCACAACCTCCCAGCTCGGTGACTAGTGCCTCCTGGGTCTGCCGGGGCACCCATGGTCCCTCCATCACTGATCAGCAAGCTAGAGGGGTGTGAGGAGGGTGGGGCCCACATGCTCAGCAGCGGACCAGAAGTGGACCGGAACTACTTCCCATCCACTTCTGGGTTTGTTGCCAAGCATGCAGGCCCCCCAACCCCGCCACTCCTGTGGGAGGCTCCATCTGCCCCACCATCACAGCATTTACAAGCCACGCCTGGTACCTTGAGGTATGTAGAAAAAACATTTAAAAGCAGTATCTACGGCCAAATTGCTGATTCTTCAAATCAGCATCGAATATTCAAATTCATCTGAATCGAATCGGGGCAGTGATCTGAATCAATTAATTGAACCACTGTCCCCGGTTTGGGCTGAATCCAAATCAAATACGGTCCTACAAAATAGATTTATAAATATATATGTGTGGTTGTGTGAGTGAATTAATATTCAGTTCTCAAACCTAAGCTAACACTACTGTAGTTTGTACAGTTAGTTATAAGGGAACATGAACTACACTACCCTCTACAGACATCTTAAATCCCAATGCTATTCAAATGCAACAGAAGAATAGGAAGTACAACAAGAGATACGCCTGGCTAGACAGCAATCTATTTAAAGAGTTAAAACTCAAAAAGGAATCCTATAAAAAGGTATCCTAGGGTATTGAAGAGATTGGCTGTATAATTTCAGAGGCATTGGCAAAGAAGGGGAAAAGAAAGGATCCAGAAAACTAAAGACCAGTCAGCTTAAGATACTGGCTAGCCTCTCTATCCCTAGGAAGATCATTGTGCAGGTACTCAAGGAATTCACTGTGAAGCATCTAGGGAAGAACAAGGTGACCAGGAATAGTCAGGCTGGATTCATTGTGCCTGATCAATCTGATTTCCTTCATTGGAAAGGGACTTAGAATAGATGACTTCATGATCTTCCAGTGCTACTTTCCTATGATCCTATGAAATTATACAAGGATTCGGTGTTCTTGAATGTTAAAACTGCCTCAGTACAAAAAAATGAATTGGTAATAAAAATGTAGGATAAGCTGTAGCACACTGTTCTCTTTGAATAGGCTTATCTGAAGCCAAGTATCTCCCTAAGTTCCAAATTCACTTTCCATAGCCAAATTTGAAACAAAGCTCCCCTCTGTGGACCCATCCAATTACTATGCTTCTTCCTCCTGGGTTTTTTGTTTGTGCTACTTCGCCCAAATGGATGTTAAATTATGACTGCATAGCAACTCTTACAGTAAATGGAAAAAATAAAACTAAACAGATGAAACATCCGGTGAAACAAGGATCACAGGGTATGAAATGACAAAAGAAACAGCAAAAAATCCAAGAAACGACTGAAGAAATAAAGATAAAAGGTATATCAAAGCAACAAAAAGTAGCTAAACAAGGAAAATAAAGTTTAAAGGAACAACAACAAATGATACCAAATTATTCTGGGTGCTCAAGTCCCAAGCTGATGGAGAAGAGCTGACAGAGAAAGACCCCACCAAGCTAAGTGAGTGAGCAAAAAGTATTGCAGATACGCTTCAGTGTCAACAAGTGCAAGGTAATGCACCTGGGGAAAGATAACCTCCACTGTATGTACACAATGACTCTGAATTAGCTGTATGACTTGGGAAAGGGACTTTGGGGTCATTGTAGATAGTTTTCTAAAAATGTCAGCCTAGCGTGCACAGTAATCGAAAAAGGCCAATAAAATGTTGGGCATCAATAAGAAGGGAACTGAAAACAAAATGGAGAACATCCTCATGCCATTCTACAAATCCATGGTGCACCCACATCTTGAATACTCTTTGTAGTTATAGTCCAAACAACTCAAAAAGGATGTAGTAAAATTGGAAAAGGTACAGAGAAAGGCAACCAAAATAATTAGGGTCCTGGAACAGTTGACATCCTAGAGACAACAAAAAAAAGCTAAGACTCTTCAGTTTAGAAAGAAGAAAACTAACTAAGGGGGGATATGATGGAAGTTTAGAAAATCATGAAGGGTGTGGACCAAGTGAACATGGAACTGTTGTTCACCAAGTCCCAGCATAGTAGGGGGGAACCTCCTGAAATTAGTTTTAAAGCTGTCACCTGCTAATGAAAGAAAATATCTTTTTATGCAACACATAGTTAACTTGTAGAATTCACACCCACAGGAGGTGGTGGTGGCTGATACATGGCCAGATTCAAAAAGGGACTGGGTAAATTAATGGATGATAGATCTATTAATGATTATTGAACAGAATGGTTGGAAACATTTCCTCTGGTATCTCTAAAGCAATAGTGGTGGATGCCAGGGCAGGTACTGAATAGGGGACAGATCACTCTAGAGTTATCTAGTTCAATACTCTCCCTCTAGCATCCATCTCTACACTGACAGAGACAGAATACTGGGCTAAATAAACCATTGGTCGACTCAGTTGGGAACTTCCTATGTTCTCATGGTTCAAGCATGAGATGGTAGGAGATAACTAAGAGCATGAGGTCAGTGGGGGTTTTCTTCTTGTATGGCAGGAGGTTACTGCGGGGTATTTTGGAAGTTCTTTCAAATATGCAGTCTATGTCTCTACTGGAATGTCCTTGCTGGGTAAAGGCAGTTTTCAGTTTGGTGACTTTGGTGTCACAACTATTCTCCTCAGAGCAGATGTGGTGGTATTGACTGTAGAGTAAAGCAAGTGTATCAAATGCACTTTGGCCTCTGGTCTGGATCTGGACCATGGGGCTCCTCAAAAGCTGTATTTTGCCCAGGGTGGTGGTGATAACTGCAGCAGCATCTGCAGTAGCAGATTTGATAACAGATTTGGTAACTGCCTTCAAACATTTGTCACTAGAGAGATGATGGTAACCTATACTTTGAGGCCACAGGAGACAGGATAAGGAGTAATGGTCATAAATTGCAACAAAGAATATATAGATTAGATATTAAGAACTATCTCACCATGAAGCTGGTTAAGATTGAGGCAGACTACCTAGACAGGTTGTAGAACCTTTACCTTTGGAAGTTTTAAAGAGCAGGTTAGATAGGCACTTGACTGTGATATTTTAGTATTGGATGATCTTGCCTTGAACAGGGGGTTAAGATGACATGACCTCCTGAGGACCTTCCCAATCCTACTATTCTAGGATTCCATGTTGTTATGGTAGTTTATCCTGACTATATTTTTATAAGGGAGGTGATATTTTGGGATATTCACATATTGCAATAATTATTCTCTAATATGGTTGGATCTGTATATGCGGTCTTCTTTGCTCAATTCTAAGAGCATTTCTAACATATCAGAATGACGGCCTACTTGTACACAGTCTATCTGTGTTACAATTCCATCTTTCCTTTGTTCAGCATTGAATCTGACACAATTAAAATGTTGGGAGGTTTATCATAAACTTTAATGGGAGTAAGAGTGAGACTGCAACCACTACTGTTATCATGAAGGTCATAAGAAGAAATTATGAAGAAATGCCATGAACAAGCTGATAAACTGTGATTCTGAAAGACTAATTTAAAATGAACTATGAGCTATTGAAGTGCTACCCTTGTAGAATATTTTCTTTATTGCTTACATTTATTGCTTATGGAAAAATATTGCATGACAATTCTAATCTTTTGCAGATCTACATTTGTTAGCAGAGATGCTCAAAAGCCACTGCTCTAAAAGACCCATAGACAACCAATTTACCAAAACCCATGTATCTTATAGATCTTGATTATCCAAATGTTACTGGGACTTATAATTCTAAAACTATTGGAGTCAGAGATGTGAAAATTATTCAAATTCCATTTAGTTTAAGACTGCATATATAAAAATAACTATCCTACTTCCTCTCCTTTCTTATTACTCAAAAACACCTGGCTAAAACATTTGCTAATAATATCCCATCAGAAGCAACCGTCAGCTTGTTAAATAACACTTTTCTATTTTATATGGCAAGGGTTTGATAAAGAGCTATTAGATTGTTTTAGAGTTGCTCACTACTTACATTGATGTCTTCCAAATCTAAGTTATTTAGAATGACATTGTTCCTCTTCCAGATGATGGGAGGTCTCAAGGTTCCTTGAATGGCACAACTAAGGACAGCACTTTGTCCTACTGTTGCTGCAGTGACGCTTATTTTCTGATCTTCTGGCAGACTCAACTGAACCACCTCTGTAAGATATATTGTTTGTAAGGTTAATTAGCATGCAGTTTTAGAAGGTTAATTAACATGCAGTTTCTGTACTCTAGTAATTTAAGGTTTTTAATTTGAATCAAAGGGAAGAGAACTTCCAAATGACCATAGGAAGTTTAAACTGTTTCAAATAAAAGGTCAGCATGACATTTCAATTAAATTGATTGACAAGTATCACCTTGTAAGAAGAGAAGCATTTAATATGAAATAAATTCCTGAAGCAAGTTTAATAGATGACAGACTGGATTCAAAGGTGGACACATGAAGTTTAATTGCCTGATCAACACGATGCTTCAATCTTCTCTTAAACCAAAATTAATCTTTTTATTCACTACTTACTATACTATAAAGGCAAAGGCAAGTTTGCTTTCCTTCTGAGGCAAAACATAAACAGAGTCAAAGTAATAAAATATGCTAGTATGGTCAGAAACATAGTGATGGGCACGAGATGGGAAAAATATGTGGGGAGCCAAGGTTAAAGGTCCAAAACTACAGATTGCTCAAATAACATGGGATGCAAAATTAGATCGCTGAGACCTGACTGTGTAAATATTAAAGAAAAAGCTCAAGTGCTATTTTGACAGGTCTGCAAAAAACCTGCTTTTCCTTTTTTTTTTTTTTTTTTTAACTTTTAAAACCATTTGCAAGTATTTGCTCAAATACAGGGATTGGCAACCTATGGACTGAAAGGTCCAATCCAGTCTAAGGCAGCATTTGTCTGCAGCAACCACCCATTCCCTCCACAGCCCTGCTGTTCTCTCATGCTTGCACTTACTAAATGACTTGCACATGACTTACTAAAGTCATGTTTGCCACAGAATTTGCCACTCCACTGTGCTTTTGGGCAGGCTGGGATCAGTGGTGAGAGTAAGTGCAGGTGATTTTGGCCCTCCAGGAGCCAGATACCTGTTGCTCAGAGCATGGGCTGAGTCAAAAGGGGCAGAAAAAGGTTGCCCAACTCCTGCTCTAGGGGAGTAATATAAAGAAGCTGAAAGTGATATGGCTAAAATCCCAGCAGGGGCCAACTTAAAACAATAATAGAATGAATACCTTGTCAGAACCAGTATTATAGAAATCAAATAACCCAAAAGAAGACTATTTCTGTTTAATTTAACATTTTTCAGGGAAGATGAGTACATGACCATTACGTTCTGAAAACAAAGACAAAAATTTCTAGAAAGGCTGATAAATGTCTTTGAAATAGAAATAATGTCCTACTTAATAAGAGATATCAATTGACCAGGGATAGAACACTTGTCATGTACATCTGGTCCCATCATCTTCTCATCTGAATATTTACTTACACATCTGATATGTGTCTGTGTTCAGATGATGACAAAGGAGCACATGGAGATTTCTCGAGTGACAAATCTGCTCATTGCAACTATGCTTGCTTTCCTTTTTAACATCAATGGAAACATGATTTATTGATCAGGATGACACTATACATAAAGATGGAAATGTCCTCCTTCTAACTCTCAGGGTGAGATTACACATTACCATTAGCATGTGCTAAATCTAAGGAATATTAGACTGTGTTAAAGATAGCAATGCTGTGAGCAGTCAGACATTTAAGAGTTAATATCCTCGCAAATGGGCACTGCTCAGATCTGCCACTAGAGGGCTGGCAAGCAGGGGTCATGGCTAAGACAAGTCTGCCCTGCTTGCTGGTTCTCTAACACATTATAGGCTGGGGGCGGGAGAAGGAACCCACCCATGCCACTTCGATACAGTCCCCCAGTTGCCCCCTCCACTCCTCGAATTACCACCTGTTGACCCTCAGATCATTCCCACACCCTCAATCAATCCTTCCACTCCTGCCACCCTGCTCCTCCACACCCATTGCCCTGCTGACCCAATCAATCATCTCAAGAGCAGCAATAATGCACAGCAGTAGGGGGAAACAGTTCCCCCTTCCTGCCTTTTCCTAGACTCCCGGAAGTCTGTGCCAACCCCACATGTCTGGATCCAGCCCCTCCTGGGCCCCAAAGCTGCCCTGCAGCTCCTTATGATAGAGGGCAAGAGGGAAGCAGGGATTTGTTGGACTGCTGCAGGACTGGCACTTTTCTGGACCTGTGAGGACCTGCTAGGCACACTCATGGCTGCCTGCCCTCCTTCCCCCATGGGGAGCTGCTGGTCAGCTACCTATGGGGCCTGGCAGGGGCAGTGTGGGCTTGAGCTGGGGCACAGGGAGCTGCCAGGTCCACCTACCCCTGTCCTGCAGCAGCCCAGAAGCTCTCCCACTCCCCCTGCCTCTTCCTCTATGTCTGTTTCCTTTACCCATGCCCCCCTTCCTTTGTCTCCCTTTACGACCTTCACCTCTTTCCC